CTTCTCAGACCATACCTCTTCTGCACTCTTAAAACCGAGAACTGTAGATGGTGATCTGTTAATCAAATAACTTGCATGATTAACAGCTTCTGCCCAAAAACTATCAGGCAATCCTGCATGAAATCGCATGCTCCTCTCTCTCTCCATGAGAGTTCGGTTCATCCTCTCAGCAGCTCCATTTTGTTGGGGATTCTTCTTTACTGTGAAGTGCCTTGTGATGCCTTCTTGCTTGCAGTAATCGATAAACTCATTACTTGTATATTCACCTCCATTGTCACTTCTCAGGTACTTGATCTTTCTTCCAGTTTGATTCTCGGTTTCTGTTTTCCATTCCTTGAACTTTGCAAAAACCTCGGATTTCTGCTTCATGAAATAAACCCAAACCTTCATAGAAAAATCTTTGCTTGCAGTAATCGATAAACTCATTACTTGTATATTCACCTCCATTGTCACTTCTCAGGTACTTGATCTTTCTTCCAGTTTGATTCTCGGTTTCTGTTTTCCATTCCTTGAACTTTGCAAAAACCTCAGATTTCTGCTTCATGAAATAAACCCAAACCTTCCTAGAAAAATCATCCATGAAAGTAACAAAATACCTAGCTCCACCATTTGATTTGGTTGGTGCAGGACCCCAAACATCTGAGTGAATATAGCTGAGTTGCTCCTTGCTTCGGTTATCTGCACTGCTACTCGTGAATGATACCTTCCTTTGCTTTCCAAGAACACAATATTTACAAAAGTTCAGTTTGCAAGATGACACGCCTTCCAACAGGCCTTCCTTGTGTAATTCTTGCAACCCTTTCTGGCTTATGTGCCCAAGCCTATGATGCCAGAGTTCAGTCTTGTCTTCTATACCTTGATTTACAGAAACAGCTGCTCCCCCAACTATAGTGGTCCCAATTAACTTATACAGCTTATTGGGTTGTAGGTCACCCCGCATTACCACCAGTGATCCTTTGGCTACCCTGAGTCTTCCCTTTTTAGACTCGTACCCATAGCCGGCCTCATCTAAAGTACCCCAGGAAATCAAATTCTTTCTTAGTCTAGGGACATATCTAACGTTCCCCAAAACTTGTATCATCCCATCAAATATTCTGATTTGAACAGTGCCGATTCCTTTTACAGGACATGAAGAATCGTCCCCCATTAAAACTTCCCCGCTGCTGACTTCTTTGTAAGTATCGAACCATTCTCTTACTGCACACATATGAAAAGTGCATTCGGTATCCAAAATCCAATTTGTGAAAGCCTTGGAGCCTGATGTTACTGAAAGAAGCTCCCCGTCACTCTCATGCTCGGTGACTGCACTAGCTGAACCCGAGCTTCCTTCCCTCTTGGCTTTCTTCTCTTTCCAAATCTTGCAGTTCCTCTTCCAATGATCGGCTGAACCACATTCGAAGCAACCTTCCTTCTTTTCCTTTTTCTTCTTGGATTTTGACCTACCTCTGTTGCCTGTTTTCTCTTCCTTTGTCTTTTCCCGCCCCCTCTCCTTGCCTTTGGCATAAAGGCCTTGAGAGCTTTCAGTTATATCATCTAGTTTAGCATATGACTGAGGAGCTTGAATCACATCTTCAAGCTTCAGGGACTCTTTTCCAAACATTAGAGTTGTTCGAAAGTGCTTGAAAGACGAAGGTAGAGACCTCAGCAAGATGATAGCCATATCATCATCTTTGTAAGTTTCTTCGACCTTCTGAAGATTAGTTATGCAATTTTGAAACCTGCATACGTGATCTTCAATATCACCTCCTTCCAGTCGAAGTCCGAATAGTTCATCCTTTAGAAAAAGTTTATTGGACACGGTTTTGCCCATATAAACATTCTCCAACTTTTCCCATGCTTCTTGGGCAGTCATCTTTTCTGTGATGTGTGACCGAACTGATCTTGTGAGATGGATCTCGATGGAACTCTTGGCTTTCTTGAGAACCTTAGTCCATGCTGTGTCTGTCATGCCTGTTGGCTTCTCACCGCTGAGTGCATCATCCAAATCTTGCTGTATCAGTACGTTCTTCATCATCCTTTGCCAATCCGTGAAGTCATCCTTGCTGTCAAAGGGCTTTAATGCAGGTCCTAGATCCGCATTCATCTTCCCTTTAGACATCATAGAACCCCTTAACCTAGGCTCCTGATACCACTTGTTAAATAACT